TGTATTGTGCGCGATGTTAGATCGTGACTTCAAAAACAAAAATCATCCATTGACCAATCAACGATCTATCGAACTAAACATTTTCTTATCAAACATTTTAATGCATCGAAGTTAGGAAACATTTCGTTTGATTAACTGATAAGAACAGAAATCTTAGAATTCATTTATTTGATATATTAGAGTCTTGAAACTCGCTGAACTATGATACATAATTCTAAGGATAATTTAAAAAATCTATAAATGAAAGACACACGTGCAATCCACGGTTGTGACACCAAGAAACTTAGTATATTAGAATGAATTATCAGATTTCACATTGTCTGCTACTTGACAGGGAATGGAGAAAAATATCATTACTACTTCGGAGAAACGGGCAAACGCGTTCTATTATTTATATCACAGACGATGCTTCTTATCACCGGATGGTCGTGCTCCGAAAATCTTGTGATCAGATTGTTGTATTTCTCCTCAAACTGGATCGGCTGGACGGACAACAGTTTTACCGCGGTCACTATCGCCTCGATCGATCCGACCTCCACCAGTCCCTCAATTATCTTTAAATTTTGGTCCTCAGGGAATGTGGACATTTCCAGGAAATGTTGTAGCGTATCGATTATGAAAAAAGTGAACAACGGTGTAAAGATTTCGAACAGTTTGGGTATCATTTCTCCTATCTTGATTCCGAATTCTTTGGGCGTCTTCACGATTGCCTGTTCTTTCACATAAATCAGCAGCAAATACGATTTTGCGTCCATCTGTGGCTCCAATACGGATAGGAATACGGATAGGATCCCATCGATCAGACGTAGTTCCATGATGTCCAGATACGAAAACGATTCGACAAATAGCTCGATGAAACGGTGAACAGCGTTGTTCACCGGGTAGAAACGAAGATATTTCGGATGCGGGACATTCCAGCCATTTTTCACCACCTCCGTGAATACGTCGGAAAACATTCTCATCCGCTTGTCGAATTTTTCCTTAGCCGGATGAAGCAGCGCGGTTATCACGAACATACCGGCGCAGCGGGAAACTTCTGATTCTTGATGGAACAAGAATCTGCGGATTAATTCCCTAATAAAATCCTCCGGCAGAAGATTGCAAATAGCTGCGCCTGCCTTGCTCAACATCTCGCTAATGTAGACGTTCACAACGTCTTGATCCACGCCAACCTTCTCGAAATTGTCGATCGCGTTCAACGCCAGTTTCATAAAATCCGCCACGTACTCGTCCGGAGTCATGGCCAGAAATGATAACGCCTTCTTGAAATCGACGACGTCGTTTGGCGCGAGCGTAGAAATTACGTGAGCGAGCAGTGACCAATTGTCGGGCCCCGGCTCCTGCTGGAAAAGTTGCATCGTCTTCACAAAGAGAATTTCTCGGATGGAGTGGTGCTTCTCGGTCTCCCACTGCGCGCGAAGGAACTTGAGTAACTCCTGACGAGGCGCCACCATGTACATCAATCTTATTCCGTGTTTCCGTACGGACACTCTTTGTGTAGTCAGTGTCCTCGCGAATACAATCACGTCCATCGCGTTGGTCCTTCTACAAACGTTCGTAAGAGCAGTCAGTGCTGCTGACAGATACTCATCATCGCATAGCTTGCCCAAAATAGTTAAGGAAACCGGTGGATTGGCAATTTTCATGCCATTGATCGTATGATAAATCAGACCGTAATTGACTCCCGCTTCTTCGTCATGAACGTCTATTTTTGCATTAGCTGGTAGCAGGGGCGTAATGATCTTCTCGAAGGTGAATCCGTAGACGAGTACGGCCAGTATATCTAAACAGTCTTCTTCTTTCTTCTGGATTAAATCCTCGAAACACTGTTCAACGAATCTGAGAGGAATATCCTTGTACCAACGAGTAGCTTTCACGAAGCGCTTCGCGTAAGAATTGTACCAGGTTTTCTGACAAGCTTCCAAATACTCCTTCCAGTTAACCAAAACGTCCTTCGGATTTCCCTTCAGTTTCGCGATAGCCACGCCCGCTACCACATCGTCCGCTTTACTCGTTTCCGGTCGATAACGTTTGTAAAGATCTTCTTCGTGCGTCTTTAGTATACCCAACAGGTTCTGGACGATATAGACATTTCTTTGCTTGTGTTCGTGGCTTGTTGATAGGATTTCGTCTACTGCTTGCATCAACCATGGGTAATTCTTGATGGTCATACGTTCTAAATGATTGTTCTTGATCTCCACTTGATGGCACTCGTTGAAATAGTAGATCGAAGCGCATAGGTCGTAAAGAATTCCGACCTTGTCTTCTTTCCAAGGCGTCTTGTCGGAATCATATTTCTCTGAGACCACCTTCACGCATGCCTCTAAACATATCTTCTCGTGTTCTGGATACTTTTGAAGAATATTCCAGTGTTCTGTGCATCTCATACTCATCAGATCCACCAGTATGTCGATCGTTTTATCGAATGACTGATTCTGAAGAATTTTATGGTGGATAGCTTCCTCCACTATCTTCACACTGGCAGAATTACCTGGCATTAAATCCTTCTTCACGTAGAGACGCATAATCATCTGTAGGAGAACTGTCCAGCAAGCGTCGTTCAATTGAAAGAGGTCATAAAGTTTTAATAAAGCGTTAAAGACGTTCAGTAGGAACCAAGCTTGCTCGTTCTTGTGTCTGTTATTGAGATACGTGAGTACGTCCAACAGAGCCTGCTCGTCGTTATTCACCTTGCACGAATAGATCATTTTGCATGCTATCGCCGATCTAATTTCCATCTCCGAGGTTCTGCCGATCTCTTCCTTGAATTTAGGTATCGATTCCTCGATCGGCAAATAACATGTCCAGTTGTTCAAGTAGTCAATTTTCGACCGTGGTTTATCTTCGTTCTCCAATTTGATCCTCACTTGTTTCACTCGTTCCTCGGATGGCAACAGCACCAACAAATCTGCCGTTATTAAATCCGGATTATCCAGAATACTTTTTCCGTAAACTTGTTGGTAAGATTTCAATAGTAAATCGACTTTCTTCTCTTGTTGATAATAACTCAGATAATTCAACATTTTGGGAATCGACACGTTCTCCGGAGTCTCGGGGAACAATCTAGGAAATATCGATTCCAGATGATTCTGACTGATCATTTTTAATGGAACTAAATTAATATAAAGTTTCGGTTTCCGCATCAGGTGCTCCTTGCCGTTCTTCAAGAATGCCTCCGCGCATTTGTTACTAAGACGCACGTTTGGTTTTAGGTTCTCGTGCATTTCGTACAGCTCCACGAACAAGTTCAATCGTTTTTTGATCAGCAACGGTAAGAAATCGCTTAAGTCGAAGATGTCCACTGGATGAAGGTTCCGCGCGCATGGATCCATGTTCGGTTTGCTCAGTCTCAGATAACGTACGACGAAATTTGGATTCTTACGGAAAATTTGTTTGATGAACCTACGACTTAGAACGATTTTTTTCTCCACGATGGTATCGTATGTGAAAGTTTCGCTGCAAGCTAACAACAATGGCAATGCTTGCTCCAGTCCATAAAACGAAGCCACCGCAGTAAAAAATTCTTCGGCCAGACCGGGATTTTTAGGCGCTAGATGAATCGTCAAATTTTTTATGATCCGCGTTCTGGTATTTAAAGAAACATGAGGGAACAGATTGTCGAAGAAGTATCGAACGTTTGTGATGGTTTTGTTGCTTCCGTCAAAGAAACTGCTCGCTTGCAATGCTCTGGAAACTACTATTTCATCGTCAGATTTAAGCGCCTCAGCGATTGCGCTATACGCGTTCTGGTCACTGGGATCTTTCTTGTTCAGCATTATTGCGGCTTGCACCTGTATAAGAGGAGCCAGCATCCTTGGAACTTTCTCCGACTCGACTACATCTTCCAGATTGTTACATTCGGACAATCGTTCCTTTATTAGATTCGCTATCCATCGGAATTTATCGCCAGGAGTGTCACCGGGGATTATTTGAATAGCGTCCAAATAAGGCGTTTGTAAAGCCATCTCGAGGTTGAATCGACCTAAACACGGTTGAAAAGTACTGTTTATATTATTTCGAAATATTATAAATAATTTCTGATGATATGAAGTTTAATGGATGCATATGTTCTGTACTTATAAAAGAAATCATCAATATACATATACCTCAAGCGATTTTCGGGTTACACGTGGCGCGATCTAACCTTCACCCGCTTGGCTCCAATATTTGCGGCAATATTGACTTACAATTAGAAGGAAGCAGGATACTTCTCAGGTCTGAGATAGAAGTCGCGGTTCGCATTTCAGGCTTACAATTAGATAGAAGGTGCGCCCCGCATTTTGTGAACGCTAGATGGCGCCATGTGCAGCTCCAAAATCACTTGAGGTCAGTGTATATGAAATAAATGTTAATTTTTTTATTGCAATTAAAATACCGAACGTGTGTATTAAAAT